GGTTTTAGCTAATATTAGTGGCAAAAATGTCAGATAAAGTCTTACTGGCAAATTTCATACAGCAAATTACCTCTAAGTTCTCCATATACACAATCCTATGAAAAAATTCAACTCGAAAGTCCAAGGTTAAGAAAAGCAGTAGCAAGTGAAAGAAATTAATTCTAGAAGCACCACAACTAATGAAGCTCACTTTTCCTTGGGCCTTTATATTTGATACTGAAGGACTGTTTTGACAGGTTCCCCACTGGGGAACAGAACTACTAAGATAATAAAAAGATCCAGATTGATTTTTTTCCCAGGATAGGGACAGCTTTAAGTCTTACTCGCCTGATAAGGCATATGACATTTCTCAGCTTGTGCTTTCAGTTGCAGTTCTGTCCACTCAGCATCTTGTCTTCACAAACTTGTAATAATTTAATTATTTCTGAAATGTCTATTCTGAAATTAGCCAGCAAATTCAAAAGGTTCCATAGAGGTAAAAAGACACCCAGAGGCAGACACAGATAGTCAGCATGATCCTATCACCCCACAGAAAACACCGCTAAAAACACACACGGAAAACATCACTGACCTCATGGTCAATATGAAGTTTGTGGTCCTTCCAAGCTTGCAGTGACCTGTACAGATCTGTGTCACACTGGACGGTATCATTCTCCAGGATGTAGCACCTTGGCATGGAAAAGCAAACAGTGTTTATTATTACAGTGAATACACACACACACACACACACACACAGAGCAATGCAAACAGCTGCTCTTAATAACACAGCTCCAGGACAAATGAGACCATGGATTGGAAATGACATGCAGAATTCAAAAAACAATGTTCATTCAAGAAAATACAAGTGTGCTCTGAACCAGGAAGGAAGTCTGGGTTGCAGTTGCCATGGAAATTTTTAGGTAGAAAAATTCAATGAGAATATTTCTATCAAGCAGAACCTGTTGACTGTTTCATTTCTGTATGTAAATCATGCTACACAGAATTCTTGCTTATTCAATAGACTTTCTGCATAAATAATCATTGCTAATTAGCAAGCACTGAAAGCATTACTCAGAAGCAATTTCTCGATGCATAATTAAGTGATGCAGGGGTAGTAGCAAGGTAAGATGCATTACTACACCATAAAGAAAAGAGAAGAAACTCAAAAAAACAAAACTGAAACAAAGAAGTTTTACTATTTTCTACAAAAGTGATAAAATCTTTCAATGGTATCTCCTTCACTTTGAAAGCAAAACACCCTCTGACAATATAAAATCTTTATGTTTCACTAACTTCTAGTGAAATCCAGTTTTTAAAATTATTTAATAAAGAAGAAAACAAAAAAACACTACTTGACAGATTTACCTGGAAAGTTTATTAGGGGTTGAATACCATGCAGCCATTTCTGAATGCTTGTTTAAATTAAAGATGAATATTTGCAATGTTCCTTTATTTTCTTTAAACCACCTCATGTTGTCCCACGGCCTTCTTTTCTGCTAGGGAAGTCTCATGAATAACGTACAACCTTCCTGACAGTTCCTTGTAAAAATCTGGGATTCGTGCACTAAGGCAGCAAAAGTAAATTTCATTTGTTCCAGAAGAAAAAAACCAGTGACTTATGAGTCCTGAACAGTCATGAGAGCTGGGATAGGAAGGCACAATTCTCTGATGCCTACATTTCGTCATATTGGTGACTTTCTAATTCACTTCTGTCAACAGAAGGCAAATTGAAAACACAGATATCAAGAGCAGCTACCTGGCTCCTGCATGTTTACATGAGCTAGTCATTAAACAATATAAAACATGTAATCAATAATGATTGGTGGATTTCTGATAGCTCACAAATGGAAATGGTGATAAATGAATTAAAGTACAGCTGAAGAGACATTAGCAGTCCCTAGATTCACCACCAAGGAAGTTATTTTTAGCTGTTAAAGTGGTCAGACAATTGCCTCCCCTCTCTCTCAGTATGTTCCATTTCCCAATGCTTCTAGTCCATCCAACTTCATTCATAATACAGATTTTCCTCTCCTAGCACTGATTACAGAAAACTCTGTACAAAGCAACCAGTGACACCAAACCAGTTCATGCTTCAGTCAGGGCCTTCAGTCTCCAGCCAGGCCAGGTTACCCCACTACACACTCATTTGCAGGAGTATGGCCTCTCCTGGATCATGCAGGTTTAACACCCCTGTTGCCAACAGTTTTGCTTGTTCTCACTGGAAACATATGCACTGATGAGTGGCTACCGTCTCCACACAATGCAGGAGACAAAAGCACTGCTGCAGCTCTTCAGGAGCTTCATGCCCCTCTTCACTGACCAAACTAAAACAAAACTGAAGACTATTATACAAATGGAATAAGAATTTTAGTGAGGCTAGACTGAGTATCCAAAAGGGATGCAACATGCTTAGCACACTTCAACCCACACATTTATGAAAAGCGCAGTCACTTAAGGAGCAAACGTTTTTAAAAACCTAGCATGTGCACTTACCTGTGGGTCACTTTGATCAGACTAGGGGCTGTGTACTCTGCAATGCTACCAGTGCCACTGTATTCCCCCGTATCTCTATCTTCCTCCTCGTGGAAAACAGCCCTCTGCACCTTGTGCCGCTTGGTGATGTTTCTTGGTAAGATGGGCTGGTATCCATCCTCTAAAACCAGGTGATAGGCAGCTCCATTCAGCTCAACAGATACAGAACGGATAGAGCGATTCCGGACATAGCTTGGTTTGAATTCTGCATGGAAAAAGTGGAAGAGCAGCAGAAACTGCATGTTACAATTTGTTCCTCTCTGTGGCTCTTTGAAGGAAAAGCCCCAGCCCATACTGTGCTGTTTGGAATTAACTGGATGACAGTGTTTGTTGCAGTTCTCCTGTGAACTGCTGTTTCCTTAACGTCGGCATGGATGGAAGTACCAGTGGGTGGATACCTCAGAGCATGAGAGGGCAGGTACAACGCAAACACAAAAGAATGGCAAAGGGGGAAAAAATGCTGTAGTCCAGCGCCAGTGAGAACAAATAGCTTGTTCAAATAGATGCTTGCTCTTCCCCCACAATCACCAGATGGCAGTCACACCTTAAGCACTAACTGTGACAGTAATGACAGCCAGCCACCCTCAGGGAACAGTTCTTTGTGCTTTTCTGCTGTCCATCCTACAGTTCTTCCCAGCTAGGATTCCTGCAACACATTCTTGGAGTTGTCTCAGCCTGAGCCTTTTCCCAGTTCTATTCTTCAAGGCTAGGGCTAGATCCTTGATTTTTTTGGAAGGGACTAATATTTGAATCTTTATTTTTATCCACATGCAATTCTTTCCCTGATGTGCAGCCCAGACAGTCAGTTTCTCCATGAAGCACCACTCTCCAGTGCTCCCTCAAACTTTGCTTCTGCATTTGCAGCTCAAAAGCAAAATTAAATATTTGTTATGAATTGCCACTGTGCAGTACAAGATTCTCATTGATCTTTTCCCTGTTACTATTTTCCAAAGTTCTCTGTTCCAGCCCAAATCCCCAGAACTCCTCTTCTGCTTGGTCTGGAATGGCAAAAAGAGAACGTAGTTATGAAATCTAAATCTACATTTAAACTTCCCTGCTGTATGATGGGGTCCATCTCTGACTGTATTTCCTGCTCACAACCAGTGACTGCTGAGAGTCACTCATTAGGCACAATCATCTCATTCCTTGAGGAAAATGTACAACCCAGGTATCACAGACTCTCTTGTGCCCTCTGCCCTAGGGGAGCCTGGTATATGAGGCTTGTATACTCTGTATATGAGGCTTGGAATTACCACAGATATTACTGGAAACAACTGAGTCCCTTAGTTCCTTTGGTCACTTCTCATTTAAAGAGACAAACACACAGCACACCTCATGAGATGGGACTTCCCTCTGCAATCTGATAAAGGCAAAATTCAACCAATGTGCCAAATGAGAAGATCGCTCCTTCTTGCCGTCCCATGCTCCACAGAAAGGCCAGTTTCTTCAGTGGGATAATCTCTCCAGCAAAATAAGCAGGAGGGAAAGAAAATATGGAACCGGAGGTTGAACACCCAAAATTGACAAAAAAGTACCTTAACTGTCACACAAACTCTGGCATTAATTCAGAATGACTTTTTTCAATAGGCCTTAAATTTATTTCAGATAGATTGCACAGTCTCAAAAGTCGTTTTGCAGTCTGGGGGAAGCAGAATAAACATCTCCTCCCACCTGAAACTTGGCCAAGCACGATATTTTTGTCAGCACCACACAGAGAAAGCAGAATACCAGCTGGATTGTCTGGTTTTGCACATTTTCCATGCATAGTTCAAAGTTTACTGCGGATATTAAACCAGGTGAGTCACAGCTGAAGGGATAAAAAAAGCCACAAAAGATTAGCCCTATTTCAGGCACCCATTCAGGAAATGTTTGAATAAATGAGACTGAAACTTTCATCTTTTCCAAGGTAGGAAGAAGTTCTAAAAAGCTACACCCATACCAATGAGATTTAAAGTATAAACTCCCATTTCTTTAATCATATCTTCATTTTATCTTGTTCAGCACAGCCAACTAACAATTAATCTTCCTTCCAAGTCTAATACACCAATCCAGCCTGCTGGACCTCAGTAAATGGCCCCAGGAAACCATCAACCACATGTCCTTGAACACCTAGGAGCCAGGTTACTCCTCCCTTTGCAGCCAAACTAACACAGCCTTAGCACTAACTAATTGGTGTGGAGTGAGGCATCTCATAAAGGACTGCTTCTATTGCTTTATCCTAGCATGTTACCCACAGTGCTGACTCAGTGCTGTAATTAGTATCAAATTCTGAAGTGGCTAAAATATTTAATAAGATCAATACTCATTGGTACTGTGTGCTCCCATCTGCTAAGTGAACTGCAGGCATAAATACTAATGTTTAATTACTTATTAGTCACTCTTCCCCCAGGTTTTACTCTCCAATCTATTTACCTCTGTACACAGCCTACAAACAGCCAATCCAGGGCTGTTAAATATTTTGCCAAAAACATCTATGCTCCTTTCTTCAGGTTACTAAAGTCTGGCCTTGGTAAACTCTCTAAATCTGATGGCTCTCTTCCTCAACTACTACAGAAACCAGCTGCCTTAGGGATGGTATTGCTAAGAAGTTGCAACCTCAAAATTGAGTTGTAAAATGGAGTCCAGAGGAATTTAAGTCAAGAAAGTCAACTGCTTTCAGAGCCCAAATCATCCAGCTGGTATTGCACCACTTGACCTGCATGTTTGTCTTCACTGGAACCTGAAAGGAACAAAGTTTTCCACTAATGTCTATGTATTTTGCATTTGTTAGACAAAAGAGCTTTTTTTTTTTTTGATAACAGAAAGTAAAACTGGGCCCTGTAAAGACATTTTTAAAAAAATATCTCTAGTGTCTAGAAATACAGATTAAGTTTAGAGGTACTTTCTTATATCCCATTCTCACAATTGCCACTTCAAATGCATTATCTGTAAAGTAATGAACTTTTTATTTTTAGTAACAAATAATGTTATTAAAAATGACATTTTGATCCAGCTTTGACACCACCTCAAAAGTAAAATGACTGTCAGGGAAATTTGAATAAAAATGCACTCTTTGTACACACTTCTGTTTCTTTACTATTCAGTGTGGCCTATCATCATTTTCCTACATGCAGCTTAAGAATTCCTTTAATCACATACACTCGCTCATCACAGGAAGAAGAGATCAAATCCACAGCGAGAAAAACATAATAGGCCAAAACACAGCCAATGATTTTGAGAGCTCACTATTTAAACTTTCCACCTACTGCAAAGCTCTGTTTGAACTTCCTTATAACAACAAGAGCACACTAAAGAAATAAAGAGGACAAAAAAGGAAACATTCCAGACTTGTAAACCCAGACATACCAAATGTTCATGTTTATGGGTTTCTGGTGCTTAAGTGCTTTACAGTCAAGTTATGTATTTTTACATTGTCCAAATCGCACATATATGACACAGCCCTGTTGTGAAACTGACTTTACTCAATTTAGAAAATGCAGTTGCCTGCTAAATGCACTGGTGCACCTGAAAATGCATTCTAAACCATGCCTACACTAGAATGTAATTATTTTATCAAAATGTCTGGTGCTCCAGCCTCTGTACCAGCAATTTAGTCTGGTCTTTTAGACCATCTGTTCTCACTATATGTAATTGATTTCAATCTTTCTGAAAGACCAATCCTTATACCCTATTAGGGTTTACAACATGCTTGATGCACCCCAGATGCAGGGCATCCATTCTGCTTTTCTGCAAATGACTGTAGATTGGAATGCAATGAGATGACCTTTTGCAAATCTATCTCTGTTATGCACAACAGAAATGAGTGATCAGGGCATTTCCTTCAAAACTTTGCTACTGCTTGGAACTACTGCATTAATGTGGACATGACCCTTAGTCCAGTTAGAAACTTGTATTTTCTGTTTGGCAGTGGTTCAAACTAATGAATAGCATTTACTGGCATTCAAGCAGGGCTGCAATCCAATCTCATGCACTCATCAAATTCTGAGTAGCAGACCCCAAAGGTGCGCTAACAATTATGCAAACCAGCACAGAACATGCTTTATCCCAAGTCTCACAGAACAGGTCATAAAAATGCAAATACTCATCATGAGTATCCAGGTGACTCCCTTAACTAACCATAGTCCAGTTTTCCACATAAGCTATTTAGAAAAAACTTGGTATGTCACCTTGATTTGTACAGCTTTGGGCTCACTTACATTTGGTGTGTGATTTATTAGATAAGTGCAGGTAGAAGAATAGCCAACACCAATGAAAAAGTCTCTGTCAATAGGTCCAAGCTAACTCTTCCCTGTACAGCACACCCCAGATGTGGGAAGAGGGAGAAACAAAGCATCTGTGGAGGCAAATACTTTACTTTGGACACAAGCAATGGCTGTGTGATTGTCAAGATCCTGTTTTGTGTTGCTGAAGTTTATGCCTTAAGGTTCAATGAGGCTAATGAGCTGAAGGGTGTAGTATAAACTCTGTCTCATCTGAGCAGATCACAGGGGAAAAGCACCATTCTGATCCCTCTGTGAGAGGGAGCAAGTTTCACTTTTTTTACCTTAACTTTCTACATACATAAACTAAAGATAATTATACACTTAACCACCTCCTTTGCATGTTGTGAAAATTAGCTAATGTTTAGAAAGCAGCAAGTACTTAAGTAACTGTTAAGTATTATCAGATATCATTACATTGCCCTCACTTTAATTGTTTTCCTGTCCTCATTAAGTGCCTTCCATCTACTGCTGTTGATTCCCCATTACTTAATTCCTTCTGTGACTTAAAAAAAATTACTTAAATGTGTACAAATTCTAGTGTTCTTTACAGATTGTTGGCTGTAGCACATATTTAAACATCGAATATACTGGATGGAACCACTAATTGTTTTTCAACTCAGAATTTGCTTAGTAACTACTAATCAGCTTGCAAGACAAATATAATGGGAGAAAATAAATTTAAACTCTGTGTTTCAAGTTTGTGTCATGATATAAAAAGACTAATCTGCTAAATAATTAAAGCTCTGTATTTGTGGAGTGAGAGGAAAGAAACATTACAAGTAACTAATAATTCCGTGTTGCTGTTTACCTCTAATCTATAATTAAACTATATACGTCAAATATAGATGTTAGTCTGACTATGATTTCACAGAGTCAGTAAAATGGGCTTTCTGAAAAAGCACTAACCTGTGCCAAGGAAACCAGTCATCCCCTTTGGCTGTTATGTCTGATTAAAAGTCAGACTTGTCTCTGCTGACTGAGCAGAAGAAAAGGATGTTAGAAGCGAGCCGCCTCAATAACAAAGTATACACATTGAAAATAAATTACTGAAGTAACAGTTCCAAGCACTGCAGGAGCTACTGAAAATAGAAGTATTTGCTGTGTAACACTGTTCATGTTCCACAGCTTATGTCACTGTCCGCAATTTGCCTTTTCAGCATGGGCACTGCATTTCCCAGAACGAAACATTCTTCCTACAGTCAGATATTCTCAACTCTGATTGTCCAATATGAGACATGCTGTTTCATGGTTGAGATACATAGGAAATATGCTAATACAATTAAATGCCTATGATTGTCAAGACAATTATGTGAGTTAGCAAACAACAGCTTTCCAAGGCAGAGACAGAAGGTTTGCTTACTTTTCTTGGAGAAGAGTTTCTTTCTCTGTCTGATGTGGCTCAGCTTGTATTCATTCTCTTCACAATTGCAGTCTTCACTGTTCCTGTTGTAATACTTGGGCAAAATATTGGAGGTGCCTTTGCCTTTGCTTGTAGCTGCCAAGTCTGCCATTCCCTTGCACTTGTGCAGCTTGAGTTTTCCACTGGCATCTTCCACACACTGCCACTTCTGGAAGAAGAATTTGGTTATTAAAAATCTGTCCCAACTGTGGTCTGTCTCATGGCCAGCTCCAGCAATTTATCAGATATTCCTTGTAGTAAAATGGGGCTCATCTATCACCTACTATCAAAGCAGATTTTTGTAATATTTTATTTTCGGACAAAACAGCAAGACTTCAGAACAACATTGCATTTGTTTCTGATTTTGCCTCTTAGAGGCAGAACAACTGAAATTTCTTTTAAAAATCAATACTACAGCTAAAAACATGAAGGTGGCAAGTGACAACTTTCAGAAGCATAACTGCAGCATAAACCAAGGACATTCAAGCCGTATCCTAATCCTGAGAGTCTTATATAACTCTCAGCACAGTGGTACCAAAACCTTCCAGCTTTATGGAAGTTCTCCAGATAGAATCATATACTGGCTTGGGTTGGAAGGGACCTTAAAGAACATCTCGTTCCACTCCCCTGCCATATGCAGGGGGACATCTTTCACCAGGTCAGGTTGTTCAGAGCTCCATCCAGCCTGTCCTTGAACTCCTCCAGGGATGAAGTGTTTTCCAGGATTGCTCTACAAAAGCGCCTGTTTCTCTTCAATGACTTTTCAAAGGATCAGATCAGCTGTGGAAGTCCTCAGCTGCACGAGTTTATCTCCATCTTGATGGGTTTTCTTAATAGCTTTTCCTCTCCCCCCCCCCCATGTCAACACACACTTGACTTATAAGGGTGAGCTGCATGGATGTCTGAAGTGAGAAACCCCTCCCTCTCGCACTCAAACTAGAGAAAATATTAGATGTCCCCGATCTCCAATTCACTCTGATACTCAAAACCTTGAAGTAACTTGCTCACAGCTCCTTCATGCTGCTGTCAGAGCTGTACCAAGGGCAAGGGAGTTTAGCTGCCTTCAACCTGGCACAGAAGTTCCACTCACTTCCCAGGTACATCACAAAATTATTTCACCTACTCCATAATTTATCAACACTTTGCTACCTACAGAAGCTTAGAGACACATAAAAAACCTCTTACAGTTTCTCCTGCTTTAAAAAAAGTTTCTCAGAAACACTCAGCTTCTTGTTGAGTCTTGAGAAGTGTTCCTCTTCTTCCCTATTACAAAATCCTGTAAGCTAGTTCCTCCAGGACTCACTGGAATATTGAGAATTTTCCAAATAAAAGAACAGAAATAAAAACAGCAGCATCTTCCAGGGAAGATGATATTTTACAGCAGCCTGCAGCTCTATGAGGGAGACTCAGCCACTTCAGTTTGGACAGCAAGGTGTGCAAAGGCTGGGACAACAAAGCATATATTTTTTATTGACATTCATTCCATTGTTTGCAGGTAGGTATGTATTAGCATGTACTATGCATGTAAGAAAACAAAATCACTGTGCTTTTATTATCAGACTTTAATAGGAGTCAAAAGAGAAGTGGCCATTAACAGCACATTTACCTATCACTGTGGCAGAACCTCTCATTTAAAACAATCCATTTTATGGTGTGCCTACTGATTTCCTCAGACACCTGGATGCCAAGTCTCCTGAGCTGTATCTGTGTTCAGCCTCCTGTACAGCCCAAGCCTCGCTCTGATGCAGATAAATCCAGCTTAACTTACACAATGAATTGGTTAATCAAGGAGAGATACTGACAATAAGATTTTTGCAGGACTATCTTCATCTGCAAAGCAGTACATATTTACCTAGATTCAGTAACAAATTAATATCTGAAGAATAAATTCCTCTCTTACTTTTATAATGCCTAACGCTGATTGATGTACGTACAGACTGAGCTTTGAACTAAAAGTTACCTTCCTAGAATAAGCAATACTTTCTTTTACAACTAAAAGAGATGTAAAAATGTTTATTGCTGCTTCCCATTTCATCTGAATATAATTTTTGAAAATATATAAACAAACAATTTTCTGCTCAGTAGAGTTCTATGCTCTAAGTACATTTCAATACATGAAAAATGATGTTTCAACAGAGGGCAAGTTCAATGCCACAATGAGAATTACTGCAAGTACTCTGATGCGTGGCAAGAATTTTTTTTTTTTCTATTTCTTTCATCTCTTGTCAAGAGATTGATGCTCCTTTTTTCCCCTCCAGGTGAACTGGAAAAATCCTTTAGTTTTTAGTGCAGCTGTATGCTACAGTGAAAACATCTCAACGACTTTGCTGAAGGGCACATTGTATGCATTAACAGGCCCCACTGCTGAATGACTGCAGTGCAGATCTACCTAAATTGAATTACAATTCTTTCATAACCTCGGTATATCCCTGCTAACAACAAAAGTAACAATGAACCAAAAAAGACAGGGAAGAAAGTTTTGGATCTAATTTTTAAAAAGATTCCTTCCAAAAACTGTCACTGTTTCCTAGGCCTGGTCAATACAACCTCAAGCTACAGTGGCCTCAGAAAAAGGAGAAAATATAAGCAATTTTTTTTCTATTGCTCTTCTCTTGGCACTAATAATGATTGTGATGGAATCGGGAATATGATGTAGAGGTGCCTTTTCTGAACTGCCAAGGAAGGCACACACTTCAGTATAGTTTTCATCACTGGTATGCCACGGTATGTGAGAGAACTGAGGGCACCAAGCAAGTAAAGGATGTGCTTTTACTTATGATATCTTCAGGCCAGTTACAAAAGAGAGTATCCCTCCATGATCCTGGCATAGTACAAAGCAATTGGAGGGAAGACTCTATGTCAAACCTTTAATTTGCAGAACATCTGAAAGAAACAAAGTGCAAACATTTGCATTTTCAATGTTCTCCTGTGAAAACTGTCATATAAAATGATACTTCTAATGCTATTTAAAGGCAATTTCTACTTATATCAGATATGCATGTAAATAAATCTTCAAAACTAAAACATATTTGAAAATGAAATAATGTGAAATCAGGCAACTATTTCTCTTCAGGAGTTAGCAGTATTATTGTACTATGCCAGGTCCTGATAAATAAAAAATTATCGTCTTTTAATTTTGAGAGCTCTCACATGTACAGCATAGATTCCCTACAGCAATCAGCACTGCTGCAGATATTGCATGTTTACCAAATGTTTATCTTTTCTCTTCCTTGTGCACAAAATTGGCAACTTACTTAAAGGGAGATTTTGTGTAGCTGTTGTTATGATACTGTACGTGTTGCTGGGAATACTCTACAGAGCAATGCTGGTATCATAATTGGCTTCCACACAAGGACATTAATGCAGGCTACTAGATAAAAGTGGGTCAGCTTCCACTCACCAGTCAGCTTTGGATAAAAGGCCAAACTACACTAAAAAGTAAAAAAAATTCATGGAAGCCATTAGGTACTAGGATAATTTTTTTTCTTTTTTAATTCATTTGGGAAGAGCTCATCTCTTTTAAATCCCTGAAAATAAACACTGAGCTGCTCTTTCATCTGACTCTACAGTCACCCTTTGTTGGATGCAAATAACTACCACACATCAAACCCTAATAACTGGAAAAGAAAATATAGTAACACACAGATTCCCATTGCTCTCAGAAGAATTTACATATATTAGTGATGTCAAAAAAATTCCACATAGTGGACTGTGAAACAAGGTTTTAGACATTATGAATAGCCCCTTCTCCATGATCTTGCTACTCTCTTATCAAAACAAATATGGGTTAAGGAGGGTGACAGAGATTTGCAAAAATCACTTTGTGGCCGTAGACCTGTATTCACAAACTTGCATGCTCACAAAGCAGAATTTCAAATTCTCTATTTCATATTCAAAGCTTTATTTACCTCTCCTTTCTCTACCTCTCCTTTAAGCTCTGCCCTTGTCTCATCCTTCACTCCCCTTCTGAGTCTTTGATCTCCATTTGTGTTTCTTGTCTCGGGCTCACACTTCAGATTCCCTGGGACTGCTCAGATTTCTCTGTACATGAAATAGCAGATCCCCAAAACTTGTTGAAGTCAAAAGAAAGAGTTCCAATGACTTCAGCAAGCTTTCAACTAATTCTGACCCAGATGGGTATTTATCTTTGCATTAGAATATGAAAATTCACTTTTCATACTGAACACTCCAAGTACTGTAATATAGTGTCCTGCAGCATCAGAAGACATCTGCTAAATAACCACTGCATCAGCATAACATCAGCTCCCCAAGGCAGTGGTATGTTATTAGCTTGGGCTCATTCTACTTATTGTGCAGAGCTATGAACAGCACCAGCAAACAGACAACACCCATTTGTCATTTGAGAAGTTAGACTTCCTTCACTTTAAAGACATTTTGGGTGCACCCATGTTTAGACACAATTTATCCTTAAATAAGTACATT